TTTTTTTTTAATATTTGTTTTTTAGTTGTAGATGGACACAACACAATGCCTTATTATTATTTTTTTTTAATGTGGTGCTGAGGATCGAACCCGGGTCCCACCCGTGCCAGGCAAGTGCTCTACCGCTGAGCCACAATTCCACATTCACTCTTTTTGATAAATATTTGTGGATTCTACACTGGGCCTTGTGCCAGACCTGGCCTCCTGGGATCATGCCCTGACAACAGAAAACTACTCTCTGAGATCCAAGCGCAGGGTTGGTATGAGGGCTCTTTGAAAGAGACATATCTGAGCAGGCCCTTGCCATCATGCCCACATTTGAGCATCATACAGACCAAGTTTTCAATTTAATAGCTTTGTGACCTTGGGCAAGTCACTTCACCTCTCTGGGCCTCCACTTACTCATGGGTAGAAACTAAGTTACCTAGAAGGTGCTATTATGAGGATGCTATGAAATAATCAATGTGAACCAGGGGGTATGATTCACACAGGTCCCAGTGGAGATTGGGTGTATAGTAGGTGCTCAGGAAAGTGAGCCAACTACCAGGGTAGGTGGCTGGGCCTGTTTTGAACTTTTACAATTAATAGTTTTACTACTCTTACCTGGGGATCAAACCCAGGGCCTCACACAGGTTTGGCAAGTGTTCTCCCACTGAGCTACATGCCCAGCCCTGCTCTTATTTTTCAGTGTTAGGTGGACACAATATCTTTATTTTATTTTTATGTGGTGCTGAGAATCAAACCCAGGGCCTCACGCATGCTAGGCAGCGCGCTACCACTTAAGCCACATCCCCAGCCCAACTCTTATTACTTTTAAAGCCATTATCATCATTGACATGAAGTAGTGTGTCAGTGGGCTCATCTCCAAGGAAACTTCACAGTAAGTCTGAACTCCAACAACAACTCCTGGGTGCAGGATAGGAGCCCCATGGAGCCCACTCCTGGAGCCTTCCAAGTTCATACCATTTGGCCAGTCTTCCTCTTGAGTCCTTGCTGGTTTGGTAGCACCTCTGCTCTTCAGCCATGCAGTAACTGGCCTGGACAACATTTTCATTTGCAAAGTTGTGAAACAGTGAGACCCCAGCAATGCTGATTATAGCCTCTATAACCTTGAGGTCACATAACTGGCATTCAGGACACCTGAAAATCACTGGGCTTGGAGTCAAAGTGATAAAGAAAATATTTGGGGCTGGGGCTGGGGCTCAGCGGTAGCACTTGCCTGGCATGTGTGAGGCATTGGGTTGGATTCTCAGCACTACATATGAATAAATAAAATGAAAGTCTATCAACAACTAAAAATATATTTTAAAAAATAGAAAATATTTATGTATTTATGGAATGTAGGAATGTCTACATTTAGACAAAGGAATGAAGCACTATTCCTGCTATGAATGAGCTTGAAAACATTGTGCTCAGTGAAAGAAGCCAGACAAAAAAGGCAAAATAGTGTATAATGTCATTTATTGAAATGTCCAGAGTAAGAGAATCAATAGAGACAGAACAAAGATCAGTGGTTGCCTAGGGCTGGGAGGATGGAGGAATTGGGAGTACATTAGTCAGCTTTCCATTACTGTAATGAAATATTTGGAGGCAATTAACTTATAAAGAAAAAAGGTTTATTGAGCTTACAGTGTGAAAGCTGAAGTCCAAGATTGAGTGGTGTGATCATCTTGCCCTGCTGTTTTTTTTTTTTTTTTTTTTTTTTTTGGTGCCAGGGATGCTTTATCACTGAGCAACATCTCTAACCATTTTTTAATTTTTTATTTTGAGACAGGGTCTTGCTAAGTTGCTTAGGGCCTTCCTAAGTTGCTGAGGATGGCCTAGAACTTGTGATCCTCCTTTCTCAGCCTCCCAAGTCACTGGAATTATAGGAATGCACTACCATACCCAGCCCTGCTCATTCTTTTTTTAAAAACAATATCATTTTTATTCTTACCAGCAATGCACAAAGATTGCAAGTTTTTCTTTCTTTTTTTAGTTGTTGATGAACCTTTATTTTATGTATGTGTTTATATGTGGTGCTGAGTATTGAACCCAGTGCCTCTCACATGCCAGGCGAGTGCTCTGCCACTGAGCCTCAGCCCCAGCCCTGCTCTTTTTTTTTTGATAAATCCTTGTGCCAGGCCCTGGGTCTGACCTGGCCTCCTGAGATGGCTGGCCTCTGGTGAGGGCAGTACATGGCAACGGTGGAGCCTCTGGTCACATCACAAGCCAAGAAGTGTAAAGAGGATAGGCAGGGTCCCCTAGTCCCAATCCCACACACACCCAACAACCTAAGGATCTCGCAGAAGGCCCACCTTCTGACAGGTCACAACATCTTTCGATCCCACAACCCTGAGAACAAACCCTTACACAGGCACCTTTAGAGGATACTCAAGCCATAACTTGAGCGAGTGACTGTTAATGAGAATGAAGCTTTCTTCTGGGGTGACAAAGATGTTCTGGAATTAGGTAATGCTTTTACAACCTTGTGAATATACTAAAACCAATAAATTTTCTACTTCCAAGTGGTGACTATGTGACATGAATTATATCTCAATTTATAAAAAGAGGATATGGGGGCTGGGGATGTGGCTCAAACGGTAGTGCGCTCGCCTGGCATGCGTGCGGCCCGGGTTCGATTCTCAGCACCACATACAAACAAAGATGTTGTGTCCACCGAAAGCTACAAAAAGAGGATATGGGTTGCAGTGCTGGTTCTAGTTGTATGACATCACAAGTTTATTTTTTCCTTTCCTTTTTTCCTCTCTCTTTTTAAAAATATTTATTTTTTAGTTGTAATTGGACATAATACATTTATTTATTTATTTATTTATTCATTCATTCATTCATTTTTATGTGATGCTGAGGATCAAACCCAGGACTTCACACATGCAAGGTGAGCGCTTTACCATTGAGCCACAACCCCAGTCCCTCCTTTTTTCTCTTTTTGAGACAAGGTCAATGTTGCCCAGGCTGGCCTTGAACTCCTAGACTCAAGAGATATTCCTGCCTCAGCCTCCTATGTAGCTGAGGTTAGAGGGATACACCACCATATCCAGTGGTCAGGCAAATTTCCTAACTTGCCTTCCTTCCCTCCTCTACAAAATGAAGATAATAATCTCTCCCTTTAGAAGTTGCTAGGGGGAGCCAGGCATGGTGGTGCATGCCTGTAATCCAAGCAGCTCTGGAAGCTAAGCAGGAGGATTGCGAGTTCAAAGCCAGTTTCAGCAATGGCATTAAGCAACTCAGTGAGACCCTCTTTCTAAATAAAATACAAAATATGGATGGGGATGTGGCTCAGTGGTTGAGTGCTCCTGAGTTCAATCCCCCCCACCAAAAAAAAAAAAATAGTTGCTGGGAGGATTTAATATGTGGTGCCCACGGCACTGTGCCTAGCTGTTATGGTACTGGTGAAGCACTGGGATGATGTCCACCTTGGTTTCAGCCAATCCCTGGCTGGGAGTGGGGACCAAAGGAAGACCCCTCCCACTATGTAACAGGATATCAGAAATCGAATCTGGTCTGCCTAGGTGATGTGGGCCAAGTCACTTACCTTCCCTGAGCCTCTTTTTGAAGAGGAAAACGACCGGCCACACTGGCTAGCTGGGCTTGTCCAGCGCCCCCAGCCCGCTCCCCTGCTCCATCAGTCTCCCTCTTCCCCACCACAGGTAAAGCTGGGACCCAGGGTGTCATAGGGGCCAACTGGGGGACTTGCATGTTGGGCTGGAGCACAGAGGAACCCCGGTAAATGCTCCAGAGACCCCGACAGCAGAGCGGGGCCCACCTCCCAGGCTTCATCAGGGTGACAGAGTGAGCCAAGCTTGGGCCAGCGTGGGAACACCCACTGGACCACTTCTGTTGGGTGATGTGCTACTGAGCTTTCTGTTCATATAACAAATGACAGACACAATCGACTCATAACTCAAAACTACCCAAGAACACGGTGCTCAGGTTGAGAAGATCAGACCTCTGGAGAGATTCTTCACGGCCTGTGCATCAGGTCCCCTCACTCCCAGCATCCTATTGCTTCAGACAGAAGAATTATTGCAGAGAAGCAAAGCACTGTGAGAAGAGTTCTTCTGCAATGAAAAGTGGAAGGTAAGAAAGTTGTTTTAAATCTCTGCATTTCTTTTTCCTGTGTCTTGATGGATTTGTTTGTTTTGTTGCAATTATCTGTATAACTATTTTAATAAAGAATTCCTGGAGTCTAATACTCCCATGCCTTAAGCATGCAATACATTTTGTGTGCTCTTTTTCCTGTTAAAAAGAAATGGATTTCTAGCCTGGCACAGTGGCGCACGCCTGTAATCTCTCAGAGACTGAGGCAGAGGATCACGAGTTCAAAACCAGCCTCAGTAAAAGGGAGGCACTAAACAATTCAGTGAGACCCTGTCTCTAAATAAAATGCAAAATAAGGCTAGGGATATGGCTCAGTGGTCGAGTGCCCCTGAGCTCAATCCCTGGTACCCACCTCCCCCTGAAAAAGAGGATTTCTTTAAAAAAAAATTGAAAAGAATGTATAAAAGCCAAAAGATAGAAAAACCCAACACCCATCAACTGATGAATGGATGAACAAAATTTGGTATATCCAAACAAATGCAGGATTGTCCAGCCTTAAAAAGGAATGTTACACGCTACAGCATGGATGAAACCTGGAAACATGCTAAGCAAAGGAAGCAGCCACAAAAGGACAGAAATTACTGATTCCATTCATATGAAATACCCAAAATAGGCCAATCTATAGGGACAGTGAGCAGACTAGCGGAGAATGGGAGAACGGGGAGCTGGCATACTGCAAAGCTCATGGGTACAGAGTTCGCTTTGGGCTAATGAAAGTGTTTTGGAACTAGATAAAGGTGATCGTTCCAAAACATTTGTTTTAGTCAGCTTTTTCACTGCTGTGACCGAAGGACCCAATCAGAATAACTGTAAAGGAGGAAAGGTTTATTTAGGGGCTCACAGTTTCAGAGGTCTCAGTCCATAGAAGTCCAGCTCCATTCCTCAGGGTTAGAGGTGAGGCAGAAAATTATGGCAGAAGAGTATGGCAGAGGGAAGAAACTCACATGATGATCAGAAAGCAGAGAGAGAGAGAGAGAGAGACCCAAGCCTCACCCCAATCCCCACCTCCTCAGCCACACCCTACCACTTCAGTTACCACTCAGTTAACCCCTATCAGGGGATTAATTCACTGATTGAGTTAAGACTCAGACAATCCAATCATTTCTTCTCTGAACCTTGTTGCATTGTCTTCCACATGAGCTTTTGGGGGACGCCTCACATCCAAAGCACAACACATTGTAAATATTTTAAATACCACTGACCACTTCACAATGGATAATTTTATAATGTGAATTTTACATCGATTTTTAAAAATGAATAAGAGCCCAGGATGTGCAGTGTCATTCCAGTCCCATAAGCATACTCAAACACATAGACATCGACAGAGACCTAAATGTTAGCGAGAGTGACATCATGGATAGCTTTGATATTTATATTCTTTTTTGCTTATATACATTTCCCAAATTCTCCATAGTGAAAATGTATTACTTTCATATAAATGTTTCATAAACCCCCTCCCCACCCCCATACTGGGGATTGAACCCAGCCTCTTGCACATTCTAGGCAAGCACTCAACCTCTGAGCCACATCTCTAGCATATTTTATTTCATTTTATTTACTTATTTGGAGATTGGGTCTGGCTGAGTTGCCAAAGTTGGCCTGGAACTTGCAATCCTCCTGCCTCCTGAGCAGCAAATCCCTTAGAGGCATTTGCTACTCTGTCTGGCTCATAAATCATTTTCTAAGGTTTACAGAGACCTACTACTGTGTGCTGGGATCCACTGAACACAAGCAATACTTTCTGACATTGGTACCACCTTAACTGCCACAGAAAACCTTCAATCCCCAAGGAGGCCAGTGGGACAGAGGTAAGCATCCCCGTTTTTCAAGTGAGACAATTAAGGCTCCATCAGGTAAAGTGACTCAGGTCACAGAGCAAGTCAGTGGTGGAGACAGATTTAAATCCAGTCCTCTGGTTCCAAAGCCCTTGTTCCTAACTCTTCAATGGTGCCCATCCTCTGCTGGGCTTGGGCCCCAGGCCAGGTGTCAGGAGTATTTGGTCCCAAGAACTGCATGCAAATTAGTTTTTCCTACGAGCCCCTCATGCAGACTGGGACCTCTGGGGCCAATCTTCTTATTCCGAGAACAGCCCACACTCATGCACATCTTTGAACCTTTTTCTAGGCTGTACATCTGGTTTAGGTCTTTCTCTTGCTGCCCATAACCTCTTCTTAGCCTACAAGCCTCTTCCTCTGCAAAGTCTGCCCTGCTTTAAGGCCAAGAACACTGTAATCCCACAACTGTAATCCCAGCTCCTCAGGAGGCTGAGGCAGGAGGATCATGAGTTCAAGACAGCCTCAGCAGAAGCGAAGCACTAAGCAACTCGGTGAGACCCTGTCTCTAAATAAAATACAAAATAGGGCTGGGGATGTGGCTTAGTGGTTGAATGTCCCTGAGTTCAATCCCTGGTACTGCCCCCCCACACATACAAAAAAGAACACCTTGGAAGGAGTCTCTCCAGGCCCCAAAGGCTGGGTCTGAGAAAGGAGGTACATGGGAGGCTTACCCATAAATAGGAGGCCTGCTCATCTCAAAGTCAGTGGGCCCTATGTGTGTAAGTCAGCAAGCTGACCAGGTTCCTTACTAATTATTTCAGAAATACAAATTTTTTAAAAATTGTTTTTCCCTTTAACTACATAAATGACATGTGCTCATATTTTTTTTAAGACAGAGAGAGAGAGAGGAGAGAGAGAGAGAGAGAGAGAGAGAGAGAGAGAGAGAGAGAGAATGTTTATTTCTTAGTTTTTCAGTGGACACAACATCTTTGTTTGTATGTGGTGCTGAGGATCGAACCTGGGCTGCACGTATGCCAGGCGAGTGCGCTACCACTTGAGCCACATCCCCAGCCCCAATGTACTCATGGTTAAACATTTTTTTTTTTTTAACAGAGCAAAAACTCTTCTACTTCTACCCTACAGAGGTCATCCCTGAACCAGGTGGCAGCACCTCCCAGGAAACCCCAGGAGACAGCCCGACGTTGAAGCCTGGGACTCCAGAATGGGGGATACCAGGTTTAAATCCATACCTGCTGACCTGACCCTGCTGGCCTTGAGCAAGATTTTTATTCTTGCTGTTTCTTGGTTTTTCTTTTGTAGTTCTGGGGATTGAACAAGTGCTAGGCAAGTGCCCTACCACTGACTCACACCCCCAGATCTCTTGTGCAGCTTATTTGGTCTCCCTGAGCCACTGTAAAGTGGGAAGAATATCAGGGCCTCTCCCTGGCCCTGGTATTCTTCTTTGATGAGGCGGGGCTGATTGGAGGCTGAAGTGTGCACACATGCAGTGCTTGGCTCGGGGATCACAGGAGAGAACTGCTCAATGGATAGTGCCTGTTTTTGGTCATCTGAGATCATCCCACTGCTGTTAGAAAAGCCTTATGCATTCAAGTCCATAAAGGCTGCCTGACTATATTGATTAATAACTCAACCCAAGTAACAGGAGCCGGGCGCTCAGCGCTCTGCCCAGCGCTCTACCCAGGTTTCTGGTCTGCCCTCACCTACCTTCATGTGCAGGGCCTGCCCCTTAGGGGAACTCCCAGAGCCTGGAGGAGCCAGACCCACCCACTGCAGGCACTGCAGCCTCCCCAGGTACTGCACCAGGCTTTTTCTCTGGAACCTTCCCAAGCTCCTGGCAGCTGTGAATCTTCTGGCAGGGACTGCAGAGACTCAGCGTGGTAGCTTGGGCAGGCTGACTCCCTTGCCCTCCTTCTGGTTCTGCAGGCTGCAGTTCCTTTCCGAGGCCAGGGCAGGATGCCCAGGAGCAGGTTACTGCAGCATTCTTGTCCTCATCCCAAGGCCATTGCGAGGGGCTGGACTCCCCACTCACCTCGCCTGGATCCCTTCTCTTGGCCTTGCTTTTCCCATATGAAAAACAAGCGACTTGGATCTGGATATTTATTATGATTCTGATGAGAGTCACAGTCACTTTCTCTAAAAAATGCTCACATGACACATGATTCTGCACAAAACATTACCAGCCACTTCCCCTACCAGATCCTTGATGAATCTGCCAGGCAAGCATTTCTTCATTTTAAGAGCTGCTGTATTTTTTTGTCTTGTTTTGTTTTTTTGTGTGGGGATTGAAGCCCAGGGTCTTGTGCAGGTCAAGTGCACACTCTACCACTGAGCTATCTTCACCTGCCCAAACAGGTAATGTTACTTGTAAAATATAAGTTACAAAACAGAATGTATGACATGACCTTTTAAAAAATAAGGGGGCTGGGGTTGTGGCTCAGCGGTAGACCACTCGCCTAGCACATGCGAGGCCCAGGGTTCGATCCTTAGCACCACATAAAAATAAATAAATAAATAAAATGAAGGTGTTGTGTCCAATTACACCTAAAAAATAAATATTAAAAAATGTTAGAAAAGATAATCCCAGGTTACTCAGGAGGCTGAGGCAGGAGGAATGAAAGTTTGAGGCCAGCCTGGGCAACTTAGCAAGACCCTGCTAAATAAACAGAGCTGGGTATTTGCCTCAGTGGTAGGGTGCCCCTGGGTTGCCCCAGTACCCCCTCCAAAAAAGTATTAACATGTACTTGTAAATGCAAAGAAAAAACTGTAGAAATCTATATAATAAATGGTTTCAGAGCTAATCTCTAGAGACTGGAATCTAAAGAGCTTTCACTGCATACCTGGAACATTCTGTAACTGAATTCCTTTTTTTAACAGGTGCATATTATTTTGTGGGGAAGGGGGTTATGGGGATTGAACCCAGAGTGATTAACCACTGAGCCATGTCCCCAGCTCTATTTATTTATTTATTTATTTATTAGCTGTTGATGGACCTTTATTTTTTTAATTTTTATTGTTGGTTGTTCAAAACATTACATAGCTCTTGATATATCATATTTCACACTTTGATTCAAGTGGGTTATGAACTCCCATTCTTACCCCGTATACAGATTGCAGAATCACATCGGTTACACATCCATTGATTTACATATTGCCATACTAGTGTC